ACTAGCTATCAATAATCGGGATAGTTCGGTTTCAACTCTAAGTCCGTTTTTCCTGGAGCATGGCTATCACGCGGAGCCAGTACAGCTAAAGTCACCTGAGTCTATGGAGCCCCTATCCACGCGGGCTAAACGAGCGGAAAAGTTTGTGAATAGGATAAGAGAGGCACAAGAATTCGCGGCAGCTGCGATGGCTGCTGCGCAGCAAGTAATGGAGGACCAGGCGAACAAAAAGAGGGATGCGCCACCTCTGTTTAGAGTGGGCGATAAAGTGTGGCTTAGTCTAAGGAATATCGCTACGCCTCAACAGAAAAAGAAATTGGCCTGGGTTAATGCAAAATACACGGTAATGAAAGTAGTATCCCCACATGTGGTAGAGCTGGATGTGCCGTCTAAGATATGGCCAAGATTCCACGTTGAGCTACTACGAAAGGCCAGTGGAGACCCGCTACCCTCTCAAATCCAGGACGATGTGCAACCGCCGCTAATAATAATACAGGATGGAGAAAAATCTAACCCGGAGCAAGTGGTCGATCAAATTTTGCGGGCAGAAAAGGTACGGCTCGGGAGAGGTTGGGTACGACAAATGTTGGTTAAATGGAAGGGTTTCGCCGAACCAACATGGGAAAACCGGGCCGACCTGGAAGACGTGGAAGCTGTTGACCGTTTCGAGGCTATATACGGAAAAGGAGACAACGTTGGCTAGGATGAAGGGGCTAGGAAGGAATGCGCCGAAGAAATCGAGTCAAAAGGGAAAGGGGGGGTAATGTTACGGGCTGTGCCCGGATTGGGACTGGTCACTAGGACCAACCCGGCTAGATCTTTAAGCGCCAAGGAAGCAGCGCTTACAGAGACGCGAAAGGTTGCATGGGGAAGAATGCAAGGATACGTACAAAGAGGGATCTAAGTGTCGCATAAGGATTAATGCAAGGTTGCGCACAAGAACGAGTCTCAGTGTTGCATAAGGATAATTGCAAGGTTGCGCATGAGGAAGGACCTAAGGGAGTACCTACTAAGGGGGGGAGGATGTCACAGGAAGGAGGGTAGCCAGGGAGAATGGAGTATTCTCAGGTAGGCTAGGAGGGGAGCTTAAACGCGACGCTGAGGAAGACATAAAGGACAGGAGCAGCCGTAGGCAGATTAGCTTCCCAAGGAAAAATTATCAATTCCTATTGAGTTAACGTCTTTCAAGTACTTCTGAATTCTTTAAACCCTTTACACACACTCCCACTTCCAATATCACAGCAGTCATTGCAAGTGTACGTTCCCAATTTTATAGACCAAGTAAAACAAGTTATTGTTTGACGAGACCCTAGAAGAACGCGAATATCTCGAAATTCTGTCAATTTGCCAGCAACATGGGCTAAGATGCCAACAAAAATAGATCTGATGTTTTCAAATGCTCGAACTGTTGTAATTAAGGCAGCAACATGACTGCAGTAGACAAATAGTACATGTTAGAATAATATGCGCTGGTGCCATGAGATATGATTAACCCATATCATCACTCACTGGCATGAATAGTAATTAGCCAATAGATGCCTGACAGCATACATTGGCTTCAGGATCTCCAACAACCTTCCCGTTTAGGTTAGATTAGGGAGTATGTTGGAGTTCACACTAGTGTGCGGAAAACCCCGCTTTCATGTATATAGAGGGGCTTCTTGCCACACATATAGAATTATAGCAATTTAATCACAATTAACTATCCATTAAACATCAGTAAACTTCTTCGTATAGTAAACACATTTATCGTATCTCTTATTCAAACTCGAGGCTAGTGTGTAATTCTTCCAATCTCCGGAACTAATTTCAATTCGAACTTATTGTGACGGGCTGTGCCCTGATTGGGACTGGTCACTAGGACCACTTCGTCTCCAAGGTAAGGTATTGGCAAAGCAACGCTCCTGGATAGACGAAAGGGGACTTTAAGGGGGTATCAAAGGGGGTACGTCCCAGATGGGGGAGTACGATACAAGGAAGAGAGCCAGGGAGAAAGGATGATTCTCAGGGACCAAGGAAGAGAGCCGGGAGAAAGGACGATTCTCAGGGGCCAAGGAAGAGAGCCGGAAGAAAGGATTAATTCTCATATGGCTAAAAGGGGGAATTAATACTAGCGTACGCGAAAGACATAAAGGACAGGATACGATATGGTAGTTTAGCTTTTGTTACGGTTTGACCGTTGTTTGAGCTTAGGTGGATACCTAAGCCTGATACTAAGAATCCTTACAATGAGGCTGTATGGGGGTGGAGATGAAGCTGAACAAAACGGCACTACTACTCAGGAGGCTGAAGCGTCATTACAACTTAGTGACACCTGGAAATACGTGGCAGGGTAGAAGTATTGAGCCTGAGGACAAGTCACTAGTCTGTAGATTCACGAGGAGGATTAACTCCTATAAATACCTGTTAGTAGTAGCTAGAGTTAGCTTTTCTCCTCATATAGTTTATTAAATCGATTTATTCATCACCAACTTGGTTTCCGTCACAGCTTTCCCCAAGGAAAAATAATTCATTTCCATTGTGTTAACAACTTCAAGTACTTCTGATTTCCTTAAACCTTTAAACTTATCCCTGGATTGTTACACAGGAGGACCAAGTAGAGGGAAGCGATGCACTAATGTGTGATATGACACAATGAAAAGCATAAATATGTGGAATGTGGAAACTCGAGGGACAAAAGACAACTGGCGAGTAGACAAAAGCTGGCATGGACTCAAATCATAAGATTCTAAACTAAAGAGGAAAATATCTAGGAGGATATGAGTCTGTATATATGTACATAGGAGTTCAACTGTTGAAATAAAGTTGCCAACACGAATCCTCCTGTCCCTCATTGCCAACAACTCAAGGGTTTTGCATGAAAACCAATATCCATGACAAACCTTTTGTATTGTGATTGGTCACATACATGACTCATGTGTGTGAAAGTAGTTGTTGGAATCCCTGGATTGACCCCGTGTTGGCTTACCAACTATTGGACTGACAACTATGTGGCCACCAAAATGTCGGAGCGTCACATGAAGCATCATTGTGATAGAAACCGAGTTGGTGATGAAAAAATCGATTAAATAAACTCTGTGAAGAAGAGAAATCTAACTACAGCTACAAGGTACATATAACATTCAGTCCACTCTATGAGTCTCGTTGCTTATACCTTTTCCTGAGGTTGAATAATTACTGCACGGCTACGCATTTCCCATATTCACTGTGCTATGACATTGCTTCGATCTCAACAGTCTTATCCTCAGAGTCCTCAACAATGTGCTTAGGTATTCACCAAAGCTTAAACAACCAGTAAACAGTAACAATCATACAGTACAATATCAACAAAAGTAAAAACAAAGTACAGCATAACTTCCTTCAAGAGCTGGACTCCCTGGAACACCATATAGTAGCGGTCCAAGAACCTTGGCAAAACCTGTTGATGTTATGAATTTGTTTCATTTAATCTGGATGTGGTGATGCAGGGGTGTGTCTTTCTAATTTTCAGAATTCTGGGTATTGCGAGGCAACTAGATCCTCAACCAATGAAATGTCTGATACAGTGGATTCTGAAGATAGAATATTGATAACATATATATTATTCAAGAATAACTAATCTAAATCAAATAGTCCTAAACTACAGCTCGATGTGGTCTGTGCAGTAGGTGCCTGGATACATGAAAGGCACCTACTTTGGATCCACAATCATCCCCCTTGTCAGACAATTGCCCATAATGGTCATCAGTTACCCTAAGTATTAGAAAATTATATATTTATAAATGGAAATTCATAATATTGTTTATCAGTTGTTCTTTTGTTGAGCAGCATTATTTGGTACCCTCTGACTGATTAAACTAAACCGGCATTGGCTGATATCTGCTTGCAATCCTGCTCTAACATTTTCTTGCTGGCATACCAGAAGCTCCCCACAGGGTGTCTGTCAGCAGAGTATGCTGGAAAAAGATTTGCTCTGTTGTATTTGGAAGGAAGAGTTATTCCGCCAGGACTCCTTGTTGTATAGATATTTCCGGTGTGGCAACTGGCAATTGCCCATGGACTGTCATAAAAGGGCTCATGCTTACCCTGACGTTGACGTATTTGGTGTCACCGACGAGGACGAAGACGAGGACGAAGACGAGGACGAAGACGAAGACAGAGGCTGATAATGAGGACGACATATTTAGATTAATAATTAGATTCTAAAACATGAGTAATTTACAAGACAAAAAGCTACAGTACACATCCAGTTCTAGAGCTTCCATAAGTACACGAGCTTCAATACTATAACCAAGGGTGTAGTAGTTTACAGCCATAACACAGTAACTAACTAGTACTCTGAATGGCAACTGTTGCTATCACAACACTGTAACCATTACAATACCTAAATTGTGTTATTGTATGCACGTCATAACTCGGTTGCCTGGGTGCGACACGACATCCCAGTGATGGTTTGTGACACCAGACGACATTCAGGTCATGCTTGTCAAGCTTCGTTGTTTGTCCTGGGATTTTCTTGGGCACTAAGTGTGAAGAGGAGGCCCATGGTGACTTGCTCTTTTGTAGCAAGGTACCCTTATATTTGTTGACAAAATCCCTAATAACAGCATTCTGGGCGGGGCTGTAACGGCGAAGCTTATGACGTACAGGATCAGCATCACCTGTGTCGATGCAATGTTTGACTTGAGAGAGTTTTTGAACAGCATCAGTTTTCCTCTTTGCAGGGTCAAACAGACCTGGGAAACGTTTTTCATACTCAAGGAGATACACCCGGACTTCGGGGTCATTCACCAGAGTATCCTTTCCCCAAGGTACCTTCATGGGAGTTTCCATGGAACAGAAGGTTGATTCATTTGCCAAAAACGCGGGGTGAAGTAAATAATTTGGCACTATTGCGGGTTTTCCAGCAAATGCATTGAGTCTTATATATTGCCTGTGCCCAGGGTGAAAAGAAATGCGCCATTTGTAGAATATTGACTTTCGAAGAACAAGATCTGCACAAAAAGTACCGTCTTCGACCACTACACAGGCAACGAGGAATGAATCTGACCAGCTGTCAGTAGTGGCAAACTGCCCAGGAACAAGAACATCATCATCAATTGATGGATCTTGGCCGCCAACACCTTTAATTATAGCACTTTTACATGAAGAGTACTTTTCGAGGTAACAAGTGAGACCTTTAGAGCAGTAGGCTGATGTTGATCCATTGTCAAAGAGGACTGTATATTTTTTACCTGAGGGTAATCTGGCTGTTAAGAGGTTGTGATGGTCACCATAGCCTTCTCTGATCGGGCGTTTGTCACGCAGTGGAGGTATTGTCGTTCTGCTAGCACCTGTTTCCACGTAATAGATGCCGCGGTCTCCCTTTCTTCATCAACATCTTGTAGAAGAAACTCAAGGTCAACATCAATAGTATTTTCTTCCAAACAGTCAATGGGGTTTTGTTTGTCAAGTTCATTATCTTCATGGCCTGCTAGGTGAACGCGAGGGCGTCCCTTACCGTTCTTATTATCACGACTAAAGCGACTACCTTTGAAGAGGTTTCGAGCCTTATCTGTTGAGCGGATTGGTTTGCAAAAGCTTGTGGCTGTTAGGCACAGATTGTATCACTTGGTGAAGCGAGTGGGAAAGTAAAGGAGTCTGTTAATCTGTCGTGGAGAGTTGTTAATTACTCCCACTAGGACACAGAGTGCTATATAAACTATATTTTGTAATAATAAAATCTAGTGGTTGGTATTTACGTCAAAGCACATTAATACTAACCTCACAATTAATGGGAGATTAGTGACGTGTCTTCTACACATCCCTGTCTTTACCCTAATTGGAAGCACCAATTTCAACACCCCTTCTCACTTTGCACCAAAAATTTTTGTGCATAAGTGGTTAAGTCTCGGTCTTGGTAGGCCTTTTGTACAAATATCTGCAAGATTTTCACTTGAAGGAATGTGTAGTAAAGTTAGCGAACCGTCATCAATTCTTTCTCTAGTGAAATGGTAAGCAATATCAATGTGCTTTGTAGCGTCATTGATTTTATAATTGTGAGCGAGATCAATAGCGGAGTTATTGTCTGTTGAAAGGGACGAGGGTCTATTTTTGTTCACTAGTTGATGAAGCCCACGTGTCATCCAAAGGAATTGTCTTGCTGCAAGTGATAGTGCCATATACTCAGCTTCTCAAGTGGAGTGAGCGACGGTACGTTGTTTGCGAGACTTCCAGGCGACTGTGGATCCTCCTAGATGGAAAAAATAACCCGAGAAGCTCCTTCGAGTATCGAGACAATTTCCGTACGATGCATCACAGTATCCGTTGAGTATCAAGGGAGATTTGAACTCATATGTAAGTTTTAAATCTCTTGTTCCTTTGATGTATTGCAAGACCCGCTTGACCGCACTTAGATGAATGATTGATGGATCCGAACTAAATTGTGAGAGATGTGAGATTGCATATGCAAGGTCAGGCCTCGTTGCAGACACGACATACATTATAGACCCGACTATTTGCTGATACAGCGTTGCGTTAGCCCTAGGTTCTCCATTTGTCGCTGCCATCAGTCGTTGGTTACACTCGATAGGCGTGGAGACCGAATTGCAGTCTTGCATAGAAAATCGATTCAGGACTCTATCTATGTATGCGGTTTGCGACAAGCTGATTCCAGCATTACAGTACTCAATTTGAATTCCAAGTAGCCAGTGGAGTGTTCCCATATCTTTGACCTTGAATTCGGCTTTAAGCGGGTTAACAGTTTCACTCAATAGCGAATTTTGTTCTCCAAATAGTACAATATCATCCACATATACCGCTAAGTATAATTCTCCTGTATTGTGGATAAAGACACAGGGATCAAAGGGTGACAAAGAAAACCCGAGGGGAATGATAAATTCAGCCAACCTGAAAAACCATTGCCGTGGTGATTGCTTCAATCCGTATATACACCTATTAAGTTTTGCAACATGGCCCTCTTGCCTGTACCCTTCAGGAAGTTCCATATAGATTTCTTCATTCAAGATCCCATATAGAAATGCGGTTTTTATGTCAAGTTGTCTTGGTCTCCAATTTTTCGAGGCAGAAATTGCTCAGAGTATTCTTAAAGAATCAAATCGCACGACTGGAGCGAATGTTTCATCGTAATCTAGTCCTTGGATCTGTGAGAATCCTTTTGCGACGTAACGTGCTTTATATCTTTCGATTTCCCCATATGCATCTTTTTTAATTTTGCATACGCATTTGCCACCAACAACTTTGCGACCTGCAGGACGAGGAACAACGTTCCACACATCATTTTCTTTGAGTGATGACATCTCTTCTTCAAATGCTATTTTCCAGTCTTCACAGTTTGCTGATGCCTTAGCACCATTGTACGTTTTGGGTTCTGATACATCAATGACATTTAAAAGTGCTAATTCTTGTCCCTCATCATCACTATTGTTACCATTCGAACTTTGCAATGCGGGTTGATGAAGATCACGAGAAGTTTTCCACCACTCCCCCGTTATCGTATCTTCATAAGTTCGAGGACGTTTAGTGCGTTTAGGTCTGGAATTGACATTGTTATTATGATCTTGATTAAAAAGATTTTGAGAAGATGTTGAAGCAGAAGTTGAGGCAGATGGTTGAGGTTCGAGTTGAATATAAGTTGGTACTGATGACTCTTGCGATGGTTCTGACTGAGACGGATAACTAGGATCTTGATTATGAGAGAGATCTTGAATGTTTTGTCCTTCACCAACATTAGAGGAATTCTTCCAATTGTTTAACAATATTGTTGACGTTATTGGAGTTTGTTGATGAATCTTGTGTGGAGTCAAGGTTGATGTTAGATCAGCGACAGGTTGATCACCCTTGTAGGGGATAAACTTTACATCAGCCAATATAACTATCTGTTTCCTTGCAGGAACAAAAATTCGATATTAATGATCAGTTTTGGTGTATCCAACAAATATACCTTTCTCAGCATTTGGTAGAAGTTTGCATCCTGATGGTCGCTTAGCCATGGGAATATGCACATAACATTCTTGACCAAATGGATGAAGGTGTAGAATGGATGGTTTTCTCGCGTGGAATGCTTCATATGGCGTCTGTCCATTAACAGCACTATGTGCCTGACAATTTTTAGTGTAGATGAAGGATTTTGCTGCTTCAGCCCATAACTGCTTATCTTTAATTGATGCGAGAATTGCACGAACTCCTTCGATAATAGATCGATTTAGCCTTTCGGCTACCCCATTTGATTCAGGAGAATATGGAGGCGTCAGATGATGACTTATCCCCTTCTGAACCAGAAAATCGGAGAGCGTTGCATTGACATACTCACCGCCGTTGTCTGTTCTGAGTGATTTAACTTGACAATTGTATTGCGTTTCTAATGCCTTAACAAAATTGATAACAGCCTGAGCCGCCTCAGATTTGTGTTTAAGGAATTGAATCGTGGTACAGCGTGTTGCGTCATCAACAAAACTTATGTAGTATAGTGCATTGCCATACGACAGAACAGGAAACGGTCCGGCAAGATCTGAGTGAATGTATTCGCCTTTCGATGTTGATCGTGCAGCTGATGAGGCTGGCTTTTTGTGTACAGATTTAGATGACATGCAGGAATCACAGTGAAAGTTCTTTGGGCAATTTGGAATTACACCTGAGTTCTGGATGAGCTTCTCTGTCTTGGTTATTGTCGAAGGAGATGCATGACTGAGGGCTTTATGCCAGAATTCATAGGTGGAGCAAGCTACTTCATTTTTACGTGCGACTTCCCTGATCACTGGCAAGGCACCGCCGTAATGAGCTTCCAACCAGATTTTATTATTTTTATATATAATCATCACTTTGCCATTGTCATGGAGTAAGTATCCCTTGGATCTAGCTTTCTTCCAAGAAAATAGCGGTAAAGATAAATTTGGCACAAATAGTACATCATGTAACGGCTGTTAAGCCTAATTATCCCTGTAGCCTACGCTAGCTAGCGCAGGCAATGAGATCAATGGTGTAATCCAGAATCTTCTTGGAAGTTGTCGAAGAATCCAAACAATTCTGGTCATGGAGGGAATCCTATGGAAGGAGGAGTATTCTGGATTATATATATTTGTAGTCACTAGCTGTTAGAATTCTCTCTCTAGAGAATTATAATTAATATACTGTACCTACAAGATTGCCCATGCATTTTGTTATGAAACCGTGACACATCATTAACCTTGAAAGTTGACACAGTTCCATCTGACATCTCACAGTGTAACAACACATTTCCTTTCCCTTCGATTGACATTCTCTCATTTGAACTTGACATCACATAACCGGAGCAAGGCACGAGTTGTTCGAATCGTTCTGGGTAAGGACACGTGTGAGCAGTTGTGCAAGTATCAAGATAAAATAGATGACTAACCTGATCAATGCCCGTAACGGTTATATTTGCCCGTTGTAAGGTTATTTCAGATTGTGTCAAATTCGGTTGGGACAATTTCTCTTTAAGTCTAGGGCAAGAGTTATAAACATGCCCTTTATACTCGGTCGGAAAACGCTTCTTGCAGAAGGAACATTCGTTCGACGAGGGGCGTTTGGAACGCTTGGATACCCTTCCAGGTTTCCTTGGCTTGAGAGAGTTATTGTCTGCTTTGCCAACTTGCGTGATGAGAGCTGTTGGAGGAGGTGCAGTGCAATCTAGATCAAGAAGACGTTGTTTAACCACGGCATAGGTACAATTGTCCTTAGTTGTAAAGTTATCAACTACATCCTCATGATGTTCACAGAACGAACTCAACAAGTAACTCCTCTTAACTTCATCATCATCAAGAAAGTCGGCTAGCTTGTGGTGGTTCGAGTTTGAAGATTCTCGGGCTAACAATGTTAACTGATCATACTCCGTCTCAAATTCATCGATTACCGAACTGACAGTGCGACTTGGATCGTATGCATTTGCGAGGAGCGCAACCAATCTAAGTTGGTGGATCAATGTAAAAGAGCTGTTCTGGTGGTACTGCTCTTTTAAATACTTCCACATCAAGTGAGGGTCTTTGAGTTTTAAGATCTTGCCAAGGATCCTTGAACCGACGACCTGAATATATATATTTACAGCAATACTCGAAAGCTGGCTGTATGCTCCTTTTTC